AAAGCTGTGTTCGGTTTGTGCTGGGAGGTGCTACCTGTTGGATCTCACTGAGAAGGTGTAGCTTTGCTGAACATTGATCGCTGCACTGAAACTAGGAATATTGCAGCTTGTAGCAAATTACAAATAATGTGAACACTAAACATTTGCTCTCTCTGGAACTCTCAGTTCTCAACTGATGATATTTTTCTACATGAATGTACTGACTATCAGTATCTGACATAGGAAAATAGCAATTTCTGACCACGTTCTCCTTCTGGATGGAGTAGGTGGTTCAATATCAACATCACTGAGATGTAATTGCTAGTGTAGTCTATTGAAACCAGTGAAAAAGGATTATATTTTTGGATACTAACCCTGCTCTTTCTCTCTCTCCCTTTCTCTCTCTGGCTCATTCACAAAATGATCAAATTTTCAGCGTTCCTATCTTGATACATTCTGTAAGAATTTAAATGTAATAAAATTGTAATTGCTGAATCCTTCACATGTTCATAAGAAACATATTTTAGAAGTTGAATATACCTACAGCAGGGTTGCTTAAGAAAACTGAGTGCAATTTATTGTAAAGGGCCTGTATTTGCTGCCTCCAATCTACTTGCTTAGAAGTAGCACTTCTGTTCTGAAATGCCATGAAGGAATTCTACTCCTTGATATATACCTGTAATGCAGTTATCTTACAAAACCAACTAAGATAATAAGTTACAAAGCACCAAAGACTTGAAGAGACTGGATTAGTAAATCACCTCATTCAAATAAGAATGCATTTCTCACTGGCTTCCAAAAGACAGTAGATTATATTTCTATATAACACTTACATATTATATATATGTTTATATAGTACCTATAATGTTATATATATTTTACTATATATAATACTATATAATGTCTGGTGGGTTAGAAAAAAAAAGTATAGCTGTGAGGGAGAGGTCTGATTAAATTCTGAAGCCATATGTTGGTACACGGAAAGATAATGTTTATGGAGAAGTTAAACATTATCAAAACTGTAGTTTTGGTGCTCTTCATGGTAACTGTAATATGGATAAAAAAATATGGTTAGAGAAGTTGTAAAACAAGAAGGGAAAAGTTTCATGCAGAATAGGAATCTTTCTTTCAAGTTACTTATATAGGAGAGGTGCAGACAGCAACATGAGGTGTTTAATGACATGTGCTTGAACATCAAAAGCCTAAAAGAGTAATTGAAGTCCTTATGCAAACTTTTTAAGATCCTTTTGCTTCTCTGTCTCCCATCTTTCTATAGTCTTTATATCTCTCAGTGACCATGGTTTTACTCCACTCTTGTTACACTGTGTGCCACAAGAACTTCAGATGATTCCTTATGCACTTGAAGTTTCAGAGAGTATTGTATTTTACAGACAGAAGGAAAAGTGGGGGGAAATATAAACAAATATACATAAATGTCATCATTATGTTTGTTGTGTTTATTCTGTTCTCTTTATCTATTCAACAAGTAGAATGCATATCAAAGTAGATTGGAGTCCTATTTTTTAAATAGTATCTTCTAAATTATTTTAGAAAAAAAACCCTAATTTTTCCCTCAGGAATAACTATTGACTAATTTCACTATCTCTGTAAGCAGTTCTTATCAGGAAGCCAGGAGGTCTTCAAGATGGATAGGACTTCTTTTTTTGTGTAACTGAATAATTAACAGTCACAGACAGATACACATATACCATCTTTTTACAAAAGAAAAAAAAAATCAAATTTTAAAAGGGACATAGCCTTAAATTCTGTTCCTGTCTGGATAATGTCTGACAAGAGGAGACAGTGCCTATCTATTTTATATTAAAAGTGAAGAGGGAAGAGGTGAAAATAACTCTGTACCCAATCCCGTCAGTTACCTGAAGATGAATAAGCTGAGAGACTGAGAATCCCTTCCTGCAGCGCCATTCAATTTATAGCAATGGTAGGTTTCATTGAAACAATAACAGGTTTTAGAAAGTCTACAGAAGTGTGACTTTGTTGACATCCTTTTATATTCAGTGAGGAATATTCATGTCTGAAGGTATGCATCACTGATTATTGTGTGAATGTGGTTATCTGTCTCACAGATACTTGCAGAAGCCAGGCAGTAATGCCAAGGAAATACAATTGGTTTTATTTAACGAACTATTTTTCTTAAGTCTTGTAACCATCTTGTAACCAACTTTGTCCCCATAAGGACCTTCTGCCTTCTCAAAGAAAAATAATTTTGCATTATTTATACATGTGAATGAAGCCCCTGGCCCTGAAGTCCTTTGTATGCGAATGGATTTCTGTACCCACATGCCCAGATTTATCCCGCAGCTTCTGGATTCTGGCCAGAAGTATTCTCCATTCATGAAGGTGCTGAAGATACTTTTTACTAGTACACATCATAGATTTGGCATCATTTCTATTTTAGTATTCTGCAATTTCCAGTATAAAGCTTGTGATACACACATGCATACAGTGACATAAAGGCACTGCACACTGTATCCAGATCTTGTGAACCCCACAGATTGTAAATTAAATAATTTAATATTTGAATTTTAGACTGGGCAATATTTTCTTTGGTTAGGACAGCAGTTTTCTGATTAATGTTTTTAATTTTAAGCAATGTTTAATACATACAATAATAAAAGTGACAGTTCAGCTTATAATGAGTTAAGGATGTTTCTGAGAATACACAAGAGGTTTTTAAGAGACTTCCAAAGTTTATGCTTGCAGAACAGAAGCCCACAAATTAACCCAAATACATTTTTCTCATCTTTTACTATGCTCACGTATCTCTAGCTTTAATAATCTCAACATTGCATTTATGAATAGTGCTTGCACTTTCAAGGCTGTATTCCAGTTAAAATAATAAAATAACATTAAAAGAGTAAAATAATATTTGCAATTGACTGCAGTGATAACTAGGAGGAAAGTAACACATATAGGATTATTAATGGTAAAATTTCATGAAAGTTAATAACAGAAATAATAGAGACTGAAAGAATGAAAGTAACCCATACGTACACACCACTTTTTTTTTTAACTCCCCCAACTTTGACGTATGTCAGTGGTGCTACCCTTCATACACAGAATCCAAGGGTCCCCATTTGGACCTGGTTTACACCTTTCTCTATTGACCCGCTTTTCTGGTGCTGGAGGAGGAGCAGGGCTCCTTTTCGCACTTTTGCGTTAGTCCTTAACTGATGTGGAGGACCTCTGTTCTGTGAGGTGGAGCATGGCATTGTCCTCAAGTATTCATCCCAGACTCTGTGTCTGTCCAATTCCAAGCAAGTGAGATGAATCTCCTGCAGTACCAAGAAGTGTCTTAAAACCAGTTGTCCAATAAAATTGTTCTGTTTAATACTGTTAGGTTTACAAAACCAGCTTTTCAGATGTTAGTCCTTTCTCAGCAGAGTTCACAGACAATGTCAGGAAACAATAGCCTGTGTCAGTGGAGATTGTACCTTGTGGAAGTAAATGTATTAAATGTAGGGTGGACGGCAGCCTCGATCCCCATGCAGAGGTAAACATAAATAAACACCCACTGTGTTTTTTCTATTTTCCCTGGCTGACCTCCGCTGTTGTAGCTGAGCTTTCCTCTTGTGATATTTGCCAGGTTATATAAAAAAGATGTGCCTCCTGGCTGAAATGATGAAACATAAAGCCTGTTCTTGGGCTGTGGAAGCCTGATGGATATGAAACAGCTAGCGGTCTGCAGCTGGGCTCTGAAAGGAAGTCTGAGAGATGCAATTAGTGCTATGGTTAAAAGTAAAAGATTAATAATTTTTTCTGCTTTAGACTGATGTATAGAAATCTGCACAATGTAAATTTGCTGCTTCAGATATTTTTAAGAACGTATATAGAGATGATTTATTGGAGTGGAACACTAGAATTGGGTATTTCCTGGTAAATCAAACTGGCATTTAACATACAAAGGGGGCAATATATTTTTAAAAGTATCATATTTTTTTTGCTTTTTAAATATCTGGCATCTGAGGTAGCCTGTGCTGCAGATCTTACCAGAAGGAAAGTACAAAGAAAGTCACCGGGAAAGAAAAGGGGAGTGGGGAGTGAAACGTTTGATATGAAGAGGACAGAAAGTGGAAGTCTGTGATGCAGCCAAGAAGTGGTGAGAGAGAATGAGGAAGAGCCACAAAAGAAAGCAGGGAAGTGCTGTCACTGACAATGGACAGCAGGCACAAAACCCAAGAAAAGACGGCATCTAAATGCCCTAGATACAAATAACATAGTACTGGCTGTTGGTTTATCTAACAAGAGATACACAAGTTTCCTATGAGGCTGATGTCACAGAGGAAAGAAAATGAGAGTATGTTATCAGGGAATGCACTAGAAATTAAAAGCTTAGACAGCTTTAAGAGCAACTAAAATGATTCATGAAGTAAGTGGGGCAGAGGTAAGACTTCTTTTTCTGAGGGGGAAAAGTTGGTCTGACAATGAAAACGGAGAGAGAAAAATATTAGTTGGGGAATGACAGATCATGGAAGAAGTAAGGATAAAATTAAATAATGTTAGATTTATTCTAAGAATATTTCAGAATATTCAGTTAGGGAACAGGCAGGCTAGAAATGTAGAATTCTTGACAAATATATTTACCTCACTGGACAGAGAAGACTCTAAAAGAGAGACAGATTAGGTAAAATCAGGGTTCTGCTGAAGTCAGTGTCCAAAATCTTCCAACAAAGCCAGGATTTCACTCAAAGGACACAAAAACATGCAGAAGAATTTATTAGAAATCATCAGACAGCATCCTAAAGACCTAATAAAAAGGAGGAAATGGTTTAGAAGTGTAGAGACAGGAAAGAGAATAAACTTGAAGTAGAAACTTCAGAATACTGATCCCAAAGCTCAGAAAAGTTGCCTATTTTCCTGGTGTTGTATAATTATGATTTAACACCAATGAAATTGATAAATGGAGTTTTACAGTGATTTTTGTTTCATGTATATACAAAGCTGAATATGTATTCAGTATATTCAGATAGGGGAGTTCTGCATGTGTGTGTATATTTAGCAAATTTAAGTCAGGGCTGATATTTAGGTAGGCATTACAATAGACGTAAGTTAAAATCACTCGTGCCTCAAAGCTTGTAGAAATCACTTACGTACAGATTTAGAATACAGTTGCAAAAATCATCTTTTTCAGAATATTCTGAAAAGTAGAACTGTACTATAAAAACTTAGATAGCCTTTAAATATATTATACTTGCTATTTTTGTTTAGTCAGCATAAAATGGCTGGTAAATAGTCAAACACATTTAATCTCTAAAAGTGTCCTAATCTGCAGATACACTGAAGGACCTGGGGATCCTACATGGAATATATATCTGAAGTGCAAATATCTGTCTGACATCATGACCTGCAAAATCCCTTTTCAGCCAAGTCAAATCCTGCAGAAATTGCAGCTCTCTAGAATTTTCTGGTTTCATTTTGGATTTATTCATAGTAATCTCACCCTTTCAGATGTGAGAAGCTTAACAATCATCTTCAAACTTGCTCGTTCTCCCTGTATCTCTTGAAAAGTTTAATCCAGTAGGTAAACTCAGACCTCAAAATGCAGATGCAGCCACATCTTTCATTCAGCGAAGTAATTCCATGACTTGCACACCAGTTTCCTACAGATAATTGAATTTTAATTGATTTGTATCAAGGTTTTACCAGGAGCTCACCCATTTTCAGACAGTGGACACCCAGGAAAGAGTTGCTAGGAACACCCGTATAAGTGGGGCAGAACTTTAAAGCATGACATTGGATTAAGGATTTCCCAAAAATATTTCTCCTCTACGGATTCTATGTGCGATCATGGTACATCTTCCTGAGACGGCATGAGTTGGGTCTCTTTCTTCTGTCCTGCTGTCTGACTTCATGAGACATTTAGGAGTGTCTTATTTTGAGAAACTTTATCTTTCTGTCAAACTGGTTAAAAGTAGCCAAGAAGTTCAAAAGTTCCTAGATGGAGACCAGAAGTATATAGCTAGTACAATCACAAAAAACTAATTCCCTGAAATTTATTTAATCATATTCGTAAGTAAAAAATTCATCCCGTCATAAAGAAAATAGAAGATTTTATTTTTTTTTAAATAATGTGGGGTATTTTTGAGCACATTTCTATAATTCCTGTTTTCTCAATGGAAAAAGAGACTGAATGTCGGCTGCAGCTTGAATGCCCTGTCTGTCCTGTGCATGTTGTGTTTACAGCCATATTTATCTTGGAAGTCTTGCATTTAATTTATAAAAGAAGCTGTAATATGATGTTTTCCCAGCTTTTTAGCTTCACAGGTATGATGTAGCTGAAATGATACAGCAACTATTACAGTTCTACACATGTATTTCAGGAATTATCTGACGTATGGTTAATATGTGCTTTATACAAGGCAGGAGATTAAAATCAAAAGGGAAATTCTACATATATGTAGAAAATTATCCGTATGTTTCCTTTACTAATTCTTAAACTGACTTTACTAGTGAAATCATCAGATTGGTCATACCCATATAACATACAGTTCCCTTTTAAATTAGGAAAAATATCTATTGTTTTATAATGCTGATCTATGATGCTAGGCAGTTATAACACTGACTGGAACTGTTCTTAAATATTATTTTAACTTACTTCGCACGACCGACCAGGGGAAAAAACAATGCTAGAAGGTGGATGTAGTAGGACTAAGGTGTTCGGTGAACACTGAGCGTCGTCCAACCGTACTTCCT